TCTGCGTTGAAAAGGCGCTGAAGGTCTCACCAGAAAAGGCTGCTGACATCATGGAGAGCAACTTGCACCATAGACACGCGGACGACAAACAAGACCTCATCGATTTGCTGAAGCAGCCAGCTTTCGAAGAACTCGTTCACGCTCGAGACCAACAAGAAGTGCAAGATGCCTTGAAGCAAGCCAAGGCCTCTCATCAGGCATTTTTGGACGTTGCAGGGGCAATCAGCCGCGTGCGCAAAGCAGGGTCCAAAGCAAAAGCTGTCAAGCGAAAGCCGGTCAACTTTGCAAGTTTCAGGGTCTTCGATGCAGAGCGTGTGTCTGCGTGGCTGCCAGATGGCTCTTATCGGTGCTACCGTGACACTTTTAACAAGTGTTGGCGGATTTTCCACAAAAGTGGATGGAGTATGAGCAGGTCTTGGGGGCCAAGCGGGAATGAGTCAGCGCCAGTGGAATCGGTTGTGCAAGGCGCCTGGGAGAGGCACAAAATGTTTCACCCAAACTGCCAGTGCCCGTTCGACTTCAAGAATGTCGTGGCATGAGAGTGGTCTACAATAAGAAAGCCATAAAACAAATAAATGTTTCGAAGAAGTTCCCGGGTCTGTTTTCCATTTGGCTGCCGTTCAGCAGGGTCTTTGGGGAAGGCTTCCAGCTTGGTTTTCCAATTGGCTACCTTCGCTTCAAAAAATTAATTTGAATTGCTTCCACTTGGCTGCCTGCTCTTTTCATCTAAGGCTGTTTTCGTGGAACACTTGCAATTGGATGTTGCCATTGGCCGCTTGACTGTGCCTTGAAAACTGCTTTTAAGGAAAGCTTTCGATTTAATTTCCCAGTTGGCCGCCTTGACTTTGCTTCCATGATTAGATTTGCCAGTTTGCTGCCTCCGTTTCCACTTGGCTGCCCGCACGTTTTCATCTAGGCTGCTTCCGGGGCAAATTTTCAAGTCGATGTTCCAATCAGCTAATTGGCTGCCTTCACTTTGCCTTTGAAAACTGCTTTGCGGAAAGCTGAAAATTTTTGAATCTCCGACATGTTGCCATCCCTTTGCTTTTAATCATAAGTTTGGGGAGGGTATTCAAGTTGATTTTTCAGTTGGCCTGCTTGACTCTGCCTGTGAGGCTGGCTTTGGTATAATTAGTCGTCTATTTGGTTGTTTCCATTGGCCACTTGTATTTACCTTTAACGTTCAAATAGCTTCAGGGAAAAACTTGCAGCTTAATGTGTCAGGTCACTTGTTCGGTTGGCGTTCGGGAAAACCTGTTCATTATCACAAGGAGCCTAAGCCGCAACAAAAACAGCTTGCAGCATTCCAGCGCCCAACGTTAAGGATGGCAAGCGCAGCTTGAAACAAAATAAGTTGTCGATAGCAGTGGTCGAACTCACAGCCACGTGTTCTTGTTTCAGCCCGGCAGAGGTAAGATTTGCAGCCTGTGGCACGCGAAAAAAAGATTCCGGGCAGTTTGCACACTGCGTTCTTTGTTGCAGCCATGCTTGCTGACTGGCTTGATCTGATTGCCTGCTTAATCTCACTTGCCTGCTTGCAGGCTTTTACCCTGCAATGCGCGCAGTCCGTGGAGGCATCTTGCGCGAGTCACAGGTCATAGGGCTAGTTGTGCGGCCGCCTTCCCCGAAGAGGTCAAGGTTGCAGTGGCCACAGTGTCTGGGTGTACGCAGCGCAGGGAGCACGCAGGGCTGCCCCAAGGTCTGGAGATTCAGCACGGTCAATGTCAACGGGCCACGCTCTGAGCGTCGCAAAGGCTGCGGCGTGCTTGTGTCAGCGAGCACGCATGCGCATGCTGTCTCACATTTCATGCCATCGCGCGGCGCAAGAGCATGTTTGCATCTCGCCATTTGCTGCTTCAGGCATTTGTCAGAGAGGCCTGACTTTTGTAGCGTTTAATCATTTGTGGCCATGGCTGGGAAGAAAGCCGGCCAGCTCAAGAAAGCCGAGACGATGAAGGACTTGAAGTTGTTGCAGAAGCAGAAGCGCATGGGCAAGGATAATGCCCACTGGCAAGCTCAGGTCGCGCAGGAGGCTAACTTGAAGGAACTCATGGACTGGTGCGAGAAGCATCCTGAGGCAACGAGCGCCATGCTCTGTCAGGTGCGGTCAGGGTCCTGGGATTCGGGGTCGGAGAACGAATCGGAGGCCGAGGAGAAGCTCCCACCCTATCAAAACAAGGTCCACCTTTTGTCCAGGGACAACGTGGTCAAGCTCGTGTCCGGCTTCCTTCCATCCATGGGCGCTTTCATTGAGAGCTTGCCGAAAAAGACGCCGAAAGCCGACCTCGGGTCAATCCTGGCATATCTCACCAACATGGACCCTGCCTCGGCCTTGCCAACCAAGAAGGTTGGGCCTTTGAGGGACTACTTCCGCGACCGCTGGGTCCGCAATGGGGAGCGCTGCAAAGACTGGCTCTTTGACTCAGACGGGGATGCAACCACACAGGCCTGAAGCAGAACCAATCCACCACCAATGCCGCGTGTCACATGTTGTAGTTCAATAGTGCTTAATGTTGGATGTTAGGGCTTGTCGCATTTTGAAAATTTGGGCTTTGCCCGGTAGGCCTTCTGGTCTGCCCACAGCTACTGGCGATTGGAGGATGATGAGAGCGGTGAGAAGGTCGTGCGGTTTGTCCCCACTGGAGAAGTCCTGCCACTCCCGGACTGCATCTGCGGTGATGACACAGAGCTGGTCCTCGGTCACTCGTTCGCCAAAGCAGTCCTGAAGAGGGATTTGGTTTCCCTGAGCGTCTCGTCATTGTTGCAAAAGTCCCCGGACATCAAGATTGCTGGCCCGCTGTTTCTGAAGGACTGCGCTGACGCTGGGACTTTAGACGAGAAGCCTGAAGTCAAGACCCCGCCACGGAAGAGCCGGAAGACAACCAAGAAGCAAGGGTCTCCTGAAACAGGGGCCAAGCAGTTGAAAATGTCCAGCCCTCAAAAGCCCAAGAGTGGCAAGGGCGGTCTGAGCGACGTTGAGTCGGATTGAGTCACGCCGTGGTCTCACGGCTTTGCCCTGCATAAAGGCCACGTGATTATAGGTTTTTTTTGTTGTCAGGTCGAGCACGCGATGTAAGTCAAAATGTGCCAAGCGCTGGCGAAAAGAGCATGTCTTCATGATGCTTCCCTGTCCTGCTTTGTTTATCTGGAGTCCGAGGTGGTCCATCAACTGCAAGGAGGGTCCAAGCCTGGCGCTCAGTCTAATTAAGTCTCACACACTGGCATTTGCTCGCAGGGCTTCGTCTCGGCCTTCGTCAATCAGATTCTGCCATGTTGCCAGCTTAGAGTAGCAGCAATGCTATTGCGATACTCTGCTGCTGTTTGCCTTTGTCCATTGTGATTGGTGTATGTTCAGCGATGCAGCCACGGTCAGAAGCGCAATCTTGGTTCAACATCAATAATGAAATGTGCAGGGATATAAGGAGTGTGGGTGTGGGGGTGTGGTGGTGTGGGGGTGTGGGAGAGTGGGGTGTGAGGGGTGCATCCGCAAGATCGTTTTGGACAGAGCACTGGCCAACAATTCGGGACATGCTTGGCTTCCATGTTTGTTTCCAAGAGCGCTCGTGTCTTTACCGTGTGTGTCCTAGCACGAATGATACCAAAGATCAAGGCGCCGACCAAGCAAAGACCAGGGGACCAACGACCAGGGACCAAGGACCAGGGATATAAACCCCGCAATACAGCCCAATCATTCAAATGAGCAGCTCCTTGGAAAAAAGGGCAAGCGTGTCTGGCGCCTAGTTGTGTGGGCGAGTGGGTGTGCCAGGGTGTGGCACGGTGTGGCGGGTTTGTGCGGGGCGTGTGGGCGGGTGGGCGGGCGGGCGGGGTGTGGGTGGGTGGGTGTGGGTGGGTGTGGGTGGGTGGGTGTGGGTGGGTGGGTGGGTGGGTGTGGGTGGGTGGGTGGATGGGTGTGGGTGGGTGGGCGTGGGTGGGTGGGGCGGGTGGGTTGGGTGGAGCAGGTGGGTGGGTGGCTGGTAGGGCGGGCGGGCGGGCGGGCGGGCGGGTGGGTGGGTGGGTGGGTGGGTGGGTGTTTATTTATGTTTGTGGTTGTGTGGGTGGTGTTTTTGATTAAATATGTCCATCTAAGGCCAGCCAACAGCAGAACAGGTTCATAAAGAATGCGTCGACAACAAACGAGCCAGCTGCAAAAAGCCAACCGCTGCAAAACCCACCAGCAAAACCACCCAACGCCCGAGCACCAGCCACCTGCAACACACCAACCCGTGGCCTTGACAGTTGACCATGGTTTTGCGGTTCACAAGCATCCCTCACGCCCAGGCTTTGGGCGATTTGCAAGGGAGCGGTCCTCATTTTGCCCACGCGTACGCTAGTGCATGGCTTGACTTCACCAACATGACCCGCTCATGTGCTTATTGCTGGAGCTGGATGATGGCTGAGGCTTGGTCGCATCCATTGGGCCAAGCACACCATCAGGCAGGCCATCCACTGTCTTTTTGTGATTCTCAAGTGTTGTGTTGTTTGTCCGATGATGCATCGTGTGTCGACAGGCCCCGATTCTAGTGAGCCACTGAAAGACGATGGCTGCCTGGTTTGACGCAAAAAGGATCGCATTGCTTTGGTGCCTGCTGGCTACGCGCGGGACACCCCACTAACCCTCCACTAACCCCCCCTAGGTTCGGCTAAGTTCGGCTAACCCAGCTGGGGTTCGCAGAGGGTTCGCGTAAGCAAGCTGGTGACTACTCAATCTGGCGACCCCCCCTGTTTGGCCCCTAAATATGCACGTTGTTACATTGGCCTATCTAATACCACAATTCCAAGACACGCTTCGCTTTGGGCCCATTGGATCTTGGGCAATGGACATGCCCTTTATTCTCGGGAAGTGCACTCCGATGGTTATGGACCTCGTTGGGAAGTTTCTCCCCCTAGTCATCGGGAAACCAAAAGGAATCCGAGCATTTCAGAGGCCCAAACAGCTGAGAATTCCCATGGTCAGAAGCCCAGTTGCACCTTCTGACAGGGCATGGGAGAGAGAACTCTCAGGCTCCTACTCGCTGATCTCAGAGAGCGCGGAGACGACGACGCTGGGCGCAAGCCACCAGTTGCCATTGTTAATTTCTCACTGACCAATGGACGCAACTCTGGTTGATCCACGGATGCAAAGCATTCCTTTGACCATTCTTCCTAGACTAATCGGGCACATTTGGCCATTGCATCATTGCTTAGGCACCTCCGATTGAGCTGTCGTGCGCCATTTGTCCTGAAGATAACAGTGTAAAACTGATGTCTCTACTACTTTTCGTTCTGGCTCTTGAGTGTTATCAGCTTTCAAAGTCCAAACGCAGGGAGTGATACGAGTACTTCATGAAATCAAAATGCTTGACGGTCGAGGCTTTGCGCAGTGCGCTGCAACAGCGCCGAGTGGGGGACGGCCGGTCCCCATGGCTGCTGAGCCCCGGTGGCAGCTTGTTGCTGGTTCTCAGGGTGAAAGTAGGGAAAGTAAAGTTGGCACCTTCAGTTTCTTTTTTGTTTAAAAGGGTGGGTACAGTTACTTTTTCTTTCTTTTCTTTTTTGGGGGGCGGGGTTCATTTGTACCAGGGCTGCAAAAGCCAAGGTTTTTGGCTACCATACAAAGGGTTGCAAAGGTACGTAAAGGGGATGACTTATTTCCGTTGGGGTACGGGGATGGCTTAATCAAGGAGTTGTGCCTACTTTCACGGAATGCTAAAGGGTTGGGAAGGAACCAGGGATCGCCTTAAGGGAAACCACACGAGATGGTTGAGGTCATTCCCTCATTCCCTGAGAACCAGCCATGGTGTGGAATCTGTTTGCCGTTTTGTTTGGCGGGTTTTCGTTTTTCCCCAAAAGCACATAATTATCGACAGTCTAGTACTAGATATTGTTAGTTTGCGGAGGACAAAGGGGGCCGGCCCACTTCCTTCTCCCGCAAGACAAAGGCAGGGGCGCACCCAACTTGTCCATGTTGGAAGGTGTGATCGAAGGAACGGCAACCGTAATTAGCAAGGTTTTTGCTCGCGCCCATTCTGTTGTTCCGTTGTCCGCATTCCATGCTTACAACTATTGTTGGACAAAGTAATTTTGTGTCTTAATTTGATCTACAAATATGTCCGTTCTTATCGTTCAACAGGTTTACATGTATTGCAAGATGGTGTTGCTATGTTTTACCAACGCCCCATGTGAACAGGGGTACAGCAGCAGACATTGTACTTTCAAGTGCATTTTTTTTAGCACTCTGGAAAGCCATACTGAAGCCATGGACAAAATTACGGTAAAGTCATGGCGATTATATGATTATAAATTTGATACGGAACGCTCTCAAGCATGTTTGGTGGACGCGAGCACCCGTGTATATGATAGCCACAGTGGAGTTCCTTAAATTTAACTGAAAGTGTTCCGCCCTTTGGGAACCCTGGAGGGTTCATATCAAGTGGAAGTCGTTCCCAGATTGATATATTCAACTTCTGGTCTGTCTCGAGGGCACCCCCACAAACAAAAATGGCGTGGTATTCCTGTATTCCCTCTGCTTTTTTTAGACAAACCATAAAGAGGGGTATATTCAAGTCTGTGTGTGTGTCTCAAGGGCACCCTCCAAACATGTTAGCTTTCCCTTTTGGTTCCTCTTTTCAACCAACCATAAAAAGGGGTACTGTACCCTACTAAGAACACAGTGGTAGTATTCCCTATGGTTTCCCTTCAAGGCAACCATAAAACCCATTTGAGCAGCCGGCTGCTCAAGGAGCTGCGCCGCCGGGCGGCTTCCGAACGCCCAAAGCCTGTGCAGCCAGGCGGAGGCGTGCGCTTAGGTCTGCGTGTGTGTGGTTCGATATTTTCCAGATCCCCATGTTTCGAATGTAGGGTCGACATGTTCTAGCAAACTGAGGGAAACATTCAGGGGACAGGTTGTGTTTCTGCAAAAAACAAACCAGACACCCGATTCTGCTTGACACCGAGGCATTCCGGACATGCCGACACAAGAGCGTTCTCTTCGGGACATCCAATTTTGTCATGGGGAAATATGCATTTCCTTTTGCAATGTTGAAAATCACCTTCGCTAGAGCGACCTATTGAGCCGAAGCGAGTGTCAGGAAGGTCGCCCATGCAAGGATTGAGTTGCCCGCCTGGCTTGTGCAATGAGCAGGCGCATCTACCTGCAACACACGTTGTATTCTTGGTTTAGGCGAAAGGTGAGCCTAGCTTGGTCTAGAATCACATCCGAGCTTCACACATGTCGGTGCTTTGCTCAACGTATCTCGCTCTAGCCAAAGCAACGTAGCACGACAGACGATAGACCATCCTCAAGTCAGCCTTGGATAAAACTGGGCCAGCCTGCAGAGCTGAAGGTGCGCAAGTCCCATTTGAGTTGCACACGCTGGATGTGAGTCATGCAAGTGCTTGGTCATAACGGGCCAGCATGGTGACACGGCAGGCATCATGTTGGGTTGACGGGGGGGGGGTTTGCCCGGACTTTACTGCGCACGCTGATCCTCAGCGTGTTCGCGGCTGTCGAGGGGGGGGTGGGAGGGAACGGGGGAGGGGGGATGGAAAGAACACGGGTCCATGTTTCCAGCATGTCGAGTCCAACCCGCGTTTCAATCTAGTCGATCCCGCCCTTCGCGCCATGTGACTTCTCCGCTGCGCGCTCTTCGCGAACGCGCAGTCCCATTTGCTGATCTGACACGCTGCCACTTTGGCGCAGGTGGTTTTAGACCTAATGTCTAAGGGGGCTTGGGGTCTTCTTGCGTTTAAAGGAGCTACCTTTGCGACTGCTGGTCTTTGTCTCCGCTGCGCTCTCGGCGCCGAGCAGGAAGGGAAGTTCTGCCAGCAAGTTATCACGCAGCTCATGACTTGTCTGCTTCGCATATACAAGGCGGCCCAGCCTGGACGGATGCATGAAAGGTCTCTCACTGAGAGGGTCAAGCCGCAGTCCTGGAGCCTGCTTCGGGCAAATGACCGTGCCAGCACCGCGTTTCGAATCTGAGATTCGAACACGCGACGTTGGACATTTGCAGACTTTCCCGTGATCCCACCGAAGCCACGATTTGTGGCTATTCGCATAGGATTTGCACAAATCCCAACCCACGCCCAAGAGTGACCGTCCTTCGGTCCGGGCAACCCCCCCGGCAACCCATCATGTTGCTTCAAGCTGCTTATCGAAGAGTGCAGACTGTTTCCATACACAATTTGTAGCGATTGCATTGTTTGATGGTAGTGTTTGCAAGCGCTCGTGGGGAGTGAGGACTGCGGTATTTGATGATTTGTGCCTTCATAAGATTCTATCCTAGATGCCTCTCATAGTGCATGCTTCAGGAGTTCCAGTTTGCCCTTGAAAAGGGCTTGCATCCATGACTAGATTTCACTCAGTCCTCAACGGCGCCAAGTTTCCCTTAAAACATTCATGCGAACAAGATTTGTAAACTCCACTAAACTAATTTAAACTGTACTAAACCCATCAATTCCACTAAATTCCCTTTATCTTCTTTGATTTGGCATAGTTTGTGATTGCTTTTCTTGACACCGGGAACATGGATGCCCGTTGGCCAGGCATTGCAGATGGACCTTGCTAACGACAGGGACCGGGCCCAACGAGGGGTGACTCGGAATGCCTTGTGTTTGGGCGACCCAGCTCACTGATTCAAAATTGGTTAGATCTCTTACCCTTGAATTTGTTGGTTGAACATGGCCATGTTCCCAACCTGGTAAATTCAAGCACTTTGAACAGGGGGCAATAGCCGCATTGCAACGGGGGAACCAGCATCTTTACCTCCGGGTTTTACGGTGGGTTCCTGAAACCGACTATGACGGTTGGATGAAAAACAGATTTCACAACTTACTTTTTGTGGGTAAGGAGTTGATGAAACCAACATGGGGGAATTGTGCCATCTACTTCACCAGCACGCAACCGTGTAACCCTATGGTACCCAGAAACTCACCGCAAAAAAGGCTAGAGGAAAGTATCTCGGGCCCTAGTTGGAGCTGGATGCACTGGGCAACCCAGAAGACGTTTCAGGGGGACGACTTTGTCACATAAAGGTTTGCTCTTTTATGGACCGCTGAGGGTTTGTTCTTATTGTTTCCAGGAAAATGGAAAGGAGACCGTGCTTGTCCAGAGCCATACTCCTCCAAAACCGTCGCCTGCATTTTTCTTTTGTGGCTCCGGCAGCATAAAAACTAGCTGGACCGGGTGCTAACTAACCCGACTTACGGTTGATTTCCTCTAGGGGAAGCTGGAAGAGGAGGGATGTTATTTTGTCGTCCCCTAATGGACGCCACAGAGGGATAGATGTTTGCGCAGTTTAGGCAACGCCGAAGGGGGGTGATTGAGTGAAATTGCCCGAGAGGAAGTCAGTCGGGGACGGATATGTGCTTTGTTTGCCAGAGCTCCTATTGGACAAATTGCAGGCAAAACCACAGGAAGCTGGTACCAAACTTATGAGTTTGTAGCTTTCTATCAGAACAGAGTCAGACAGCGTCATGTTAATGTGCTCAGCAGCTTGGTTGCTGGGCTAAGGCTTTGCTGCTCGCCGCGCGGGGTGGTCACGTGGAAGATCTTTGGCTGCAGGCCTTCTCGGTTCCCTTCAAGCTTGGCGTTTTGTTTTGGAGTTGTGGCCCTTTTGGTGGCTGTTTTGAAGGGGAACCAAAAGGACAACCACGATGTTGTTTGTTTCTTGTGTTTTTTTGGTTTGAGGGGCATTTTTGTTTATCAAACCCGTATCTTCTTTTTTGTGTTGCTTTGCACATCACCGTTCAGACAAATGTAATAGATCTTCTCTTTGGCATGGTGATAGGGGACATACAAGGAAACCTACAGTTGAGCGGAATTTACTAATGATCCGACATTCTTTCTACAGCAGTCAAGGTTTCTCTCTTTAGGAGGCACTTGACGTTATAGTCATCAGAGAAGGTGAGAACAACTTGACCACAGGTAAACACACGCTACCGCAATGCAAGTTGAGAACTCACAGCCTAGCAGCATGGGCTGTTCAACATTGCTGCTGCAAACCCTTTCCTTTAAATCTGCTGCCAAGCTGCATAGACATGGCGAGGCGTTCCGACAAGCAGCCAAACGGCCGATGACGGCAGCCGAGCCACCAAATTCACGTTTGGGAAACCATTGTTAAACAAACGAACAGGAATCGTACCATAGCTGTCCTTTGATATCATGTTGGTTGAAAGTAGATGACTCGGATATCAATGAGCATAGATGGCTCCGATATCAGTCATGGTTGTAATCATTACCGGTGCTACCTATTTCCTGGGGACAGAACTTTTGATAGACCGTGTCAAGAAGGAACAACAACATGTGGCCGCATGGTTTGACCCAGAAGAAATGGTTCTACGCGGTTTCTTTGGATTTATTTCAATATTTTGTTGGAAGAATATGGGTCCCGTACGAGCGAATACTGCAAACGTCACAAGAACAAAAGTCAAGCACGGCCTTTGACGGAAAAACAACAACTGCGGCGGCTCGGGGGTTAAGGAGGGAAACCAAAAGGCAGCCAACTATTTTTGGGCACCTCTATTTCGAACCACACCTACGTGATTGCTCAAAATTTCAGGAAAGAAAAATAAAAACCTCATGTCTGCTTTCCCGCCCAAGTGAATCGCTTTGTGCCGAACGCCCTGAGCTCCAAGGTGTGCAGCTGGTTGTTGGAGGCCCGCGCCTGCCAGGCATCGGTAGGGCACCTTTCAAAGGCTTGATGTCCTGTGCTTAACGATTCTGTTGCGAGAACAAGACAGGTTTGAGCCATGTTGGTCAATTTCCGTGCTTTGGGCTATTCATCTTGAGGGACCCCTGGACAAAATGGAAGAATGATTTTCTTAATAGAGGTTCCTCTAAGTAGTTCGCCCAGAAAGTCGAAGAAGGTTTGGCATAGACTTCTTGTTTGGATTCAACATCGCACTGCATGCCGTTCACGATTGCGCCCAGTAACTCCTTTAGGTGACGTGATAGGGGACAACAAACCATCACATGTTGTGAACTTTGACATGTTCATTCATGCCAATCCATCTTCCCTTGTGATGGAATTGGGGGACCAAACTACCCGACTCCCTCCCGAAAAGCGTGGGGGGGTCGTGGGCCGTTGCCAGTTTCTCTGCGAAGGGAAGCCCTACGAGACCAATCGCGCAATCACTTCGGGAAGAAAATCCACCAAGTTGGTACTGCAGACTTTGGAGGTGTTTATATATTGCCGCAGCCATGATCCCCTCAAACACGTCAACACGTTCCTGTTTTTTCCTTATCAAGCTGCTGTGTTGTTCTACGCGGGCTTTCTGAATTTCAACCTGACACACACATCGGCTTAATGTTAATACATAATAAAGCAGATTCAGCACTTTTCTTTTCCAGGGTCACTACCCGCTGCTGAAAGTAGATAGCGCAATTTCCCCAGGTTGGTGCAGCCATGCCCTTTCCTATACCAAAAGGGAGTTGTGACATCTGCTTTCACCCGGCCTGAGGTAACCGGTCAACCCATTATGTAAAAGCCTCTGGTGGTCCTCTAATGGTAGCTGGATGTTGCAAAAGTCAGACCTTCCAAGTCACTCGTCGAGCCCTGTCGTTGGCCCGTTCACTAAAGCCTGACAAAAGCTGGGTTTGAGAGCTTCAAAATGGGCGCCTTTGAAAGGGAAGCTCAAGGAAACAAACCACATGATGTGTTCGTTTGAGGGTACCTGTTTTTTGGGGGGTTTCCAGGGAAACCAAAACGAAACCACAGGAACCCCCCAACAAAAGACATCCGTTTTCTCAAAGCATCATTGGTTTGGCCATGTTTGGCCCTTTCGTTTTGGTTGAAATGAACTTTGCACAAACCAAGCAAGCCTAGAGCGAATCGAGGGCCTCCTCGAGCGGGACAGCTGCCTTTGGACGCCTTTGCACGCGGCAAGCGCGGAGGGGCACAAGGAAGCGGTGGCGTGGCTGCTGCAACAAGGCCCGGCGGATCGGGGCTACGGATCGGCGGAGGATCGGCTGCGGGGCTCCGCTTTGGGCCACGTCCTCAAAAACCGAGAAGCCGGGTAGAAGGTACCTTCCGTTTGCTTCAGAAGGTGTGACTGGTTCCCCGCTGGATTTAAAGGGAATCTATCAATACTGCAAATATTGTTTTTGTTTTTGTTTTTTCCTGGGGAAGCCACTGGGGTTAGCAAAATACATCCTCAACCATTGGGTGCGGAGATCCGCCTGTCTAATTCCTTACATGGTTCTAGGTACATGTTAATACCGATCGGTTTTGATTATGCCTCAAATGGGCATGTGGTTGTGTTGTTGCCGGAAGCATGCGAAGGGTTCTTCTTTGAAAAACGGTTGCACACTTGTCCTGCCAACTCCTGCTGCCAACTCTTTCGAGTGTTACTTCATCTGCCAACTTCTCCTGCCACTTATCCTGCCAACTTCTCCTGCCAACTTTTTGAGTGCTACTTCATTATCCTAAAACGCTGCTTCATTATCCTAAAAGCACAAGCTAACATCAGTATGCTGAATACGCACGCAAAGAACTGCCCAGGAAACTGTTCGGGCTTACTTCACTATCTTAGAAACAAAAGCTAGCTTTTCTTTGCCACCCTATTTTCTCAAGTGTTCATTGTTCTTCATTTTCCGCGGCGGGTAGGCCCCCGTCGTGTGCTACCGAAACGCACCCCTCTATCGAATGCAAACAAAAGGGAGCACCAAAAGCAGTGTTCCTTTGTGTGTTCGTACCCTCCCTTGGCGTGTTGGAGGAAATCACAAAGGGGCAAATCCCATTTGGATTTGTCGCTATGCTAAACCGAGGAACACACAAATGGGGCCTGGTTTCGCCCTTTCACTGACCTAAAAAGGGTACGGTCAATAAAAGAACATCGAAGAAGCGTATTGTACATACCTTCAGGTGAGGGAGCCGAGGGAATCCCTAAAATGCACGGGTTCCCATTTGGGCTCCAACAAAAACAACACTGAAGAGGGTCCCCCCCAAAAAAAAACAACTGACCCCAAAGTTGGTCAGGGCAACGCAGAAGCAGCAGGGTGGGGAGGAAGACTTGGATATGCCAGGAAAAAACAGGACACGCCTCCACTGTCACTCTTTCTCAGTCCCCTTGTTTGCCCAAATGGTTCTGTGTTCGCCCTTGAATGTGCGATTTCCTCTTGGTTTGTAAACCAACCTAGAACGTGAAGCCTCAAAATAGACAAGCCCAACTCCAAGCGGTGGCAAATTCGCCTGAGCGCAGCCTACCAAAGTGTGGCTTTGTTTGGTTCAGCTGGACCGAAGTGCCTTCTTCAAGGATTTGATCCCCTTTCCCAGAATCCTCATTGGCAAGTTGTGGTTTCATTGGCAATCTTCACATTTCGGTTCAGAAACGGGGAAGTCCTTCAAACTGCAAAATGGTTCTTTGGACCAATCGTGTTTGTTGGGAGGGTATACACCAGCTACCTGGCTTCCCTTTTGGAGGCTGTGCAAAACGGAATGCTTTGTGTTGCACCTTTTTTGACCGACTCCCTTTCAACGGGAAAGCCAAGCGCAGGGTCTCCAAATGGCTACGTTCCTTGTTTTCACGCTCACAGGTCTAAAGGAGAGCCTTCCTACCGGTTTTCGGGAATACATCTTCCCAATCCTTCCATCCCGCTTTTGGCGGCTAAAATTTGCCATCCCTGTGATGCTGGGATCTCTTTTGAAGACGTCTCGGTGCGGAAGAGTTGGTCGGAGATTAGAAACTGTCCAACGGGCCCCAATCCTTCCATCCCGCTTTTGGCGGCTAAAATTTGCCATCCCTGTGATGCTGGGATCTCTTTTGAAGATAGAAACGGTGCGGAAGAGTTGGTCGGAGATTAGAAACTGTCCAACGGGCCACAATCCTTCCATCCCGCTTTTGGCGGCTAAAATTTGCCATCCCTGTGATGCTGGGATCTCTTTTGAAGATAGAACGGTGCGGAAGAGTTGGTCGGAGATTAGAAACTGTCCAACGGGCCCCAATCCTTCCATCCCGCTTTTGGCGGCTAAAATTTGCCATCCCTGTGATGCTGGGATCTCTTTTGAAGATAGAACGGTGCGGAAGAGTTGGTCGGAGATTAGAAACTGTCCAACGGGCCCCAATCCTTCCATCCCGCTTTTGGCGGCTAAAATTTGCCATCCCTGTGATGCTGGGATCTCTTTTGAAGATAGAACGGTGCGGAAGAGTTGGTCGGAGATTAGAAACTGTCCAACGGGCCCCAATCCTTCCATCCCGCTTTTGGCGGCTAAAATTTGCCATCCCTGTGATGCTGGGATCTCTTTTGAAGATAGAACGGTGCGGAAGAGTTGGTCGGAGATTAGAAACTGTCCAACGGGCCCCAATCCTTCCATCCCGCTTTTGGCGGCTAAAATTTGCCATCCCTGTGATGCTGGGATCTCTTTTGAAGATAGAACGGTGCGGAAGAGTTGGTCGGAGATTAGAAACTGTCCAACGGGCCCCAATCCTTCCATCCCGCTTTTGGCGGCTAAAATTTGCCATCCCTGTGATGCTGGGATCTCTTTTGAAGATAGAAACGGTGCGGAAGAGTTGGTCGGAGATTAGAAACTGTCCAACGGGCCCCAATCCTTCCATCCCGTTTTTGGCGGCTAAAATTTGCCATCCCTGTGATGCTGGGATCTCTTTTGAAGATAGAAACGGTGCGGAACGGAGATTAGAAACTGTCCAACGGGCCCCAATCCTTCCATCCCGCTTTTGGCGGCTAAAATTTGCCATCCCTGTGATACTGGGATCTCTTTTGAAGATGTCTCGGTGCGGAAGAGTTGGTCGGAGATGAAAAAAACTGTGGACATCGGATAGGTGGAGGAGTCAAGGCCCTCATCGCAGGCTCGCTACAATGGGGGTTTTCAGAATCAAACGGAAGGGGTTTCCCCGACAGGAAGCCAGTAGCTGGCTAATATCTATTTTGGGCTCATTACCACTCATTTCTCCCCCCAGGAATAAGATTGGTTTGCATTTAGCGAGCTTTACCCCTCTTTTTGAAGTCTTTTATCTTGCTGCCGCTGGGAATGAGGACATGAACTTTATAAATCGAATGACCCCCATAAACCCATCCAACGGGTAGTTTCTTTTAAACTAACATTTGTGGGTTCATTCCCACATTCCCTACCAATCGCACCAGTTATGGGGAGACCCAGCCCCACGGCCTCGGCGGAGATCTGAGGTGCTGACCCGACGCTGCAAGACGAGGACGGCCACTCCCCGCGGAGCCTGGCCCAGCTGCGGGGCCACGGGGCCGTGGAGTCGCTGCTGAGACGGGCCAAGTGAAACGAATTCGAACCGCCGGATGAATCGATTGGAGGATTGGTCCGCGGAAAGACGAAGATTGTTCTTCGCCCTGTGGGCCCTGTGCCAATATGCCCCAAACATTGAAGGGGATGAAGGATTGGTCGGAAGCCCTGATTCATAGGCCCAAGAGTGCAACGGAATGGAGGATCGGTCGGATGGATGAACCCCAGTATGAGCCAAGAGTGAAGAATCCTGTTCGTGGGACGCTCCCTATTTCGTCGTGTTGCATGGCTGCCATTTGGACGCAAGAGGTCTCTCTTCGGTTTGAATTCCAAGGGCACCGGGGGGTTGGGGCTCAGTGGCAAGGCCGTGCTAGTCAGGAATTCATTCATGTAGGGTTCGAGGGGCATGAAGGATTTGGTGTGAGTCCACAAAACAAGCGGAAGAAGGCAGCCTTTTTGTTTTAACCCTACGTCTCGAAATGAGAAGCCACTCTTTGGATGGCGTTTCAAGGGCAAACAAGAGAACATCGACCAGCTATCTTGAGCCGTTTCCCGTTTAGCTATCGAAGTGCTCATTCTGAGCCGCTACGGTGGCAGGGGAGAGCGTTGGGGAATGAAGCTATGAAGCCATGAAGCTACAATAGTTTGATCCTCTGGATTCATCCGAAGTCGAAACCGACCAACCATGCTCAACCCCATCGGCGCGGTGAAACAGTGCCGCGGAAGATGGAGCGATGCCATGCTGGATGTCCAACTGCGACCCAGCACTGGGAAAAGGGAGAGTTCTTTGTCCATATTTCCCGAAAGACCTTGCCAAACTTGATGTGCCCATCGCCAATTTTCCAGCTGCCTTCATGCCCTGTGTCTGCTGATCCCTGACCTCCACCTCAGCCCCCAAACCATTCTATTTCGCTGCGTGTCTGATCACCCGGCCCCGCTCCAGTCAACTTTACTTGACTCGCGACGTGGCTCTGCTTTGCCGCGCTTTATTCACCCAAATGGTCGTTCGATACCTGCACTGCAAGCATGCATCAACTGACGATTTGACCAAGGCCAGGAACAACGTCTGTCTGCATCTAATAGTACAGGCCTTATCCGAGCAACAGAAGTAGCAACCCAAATAAACAGAGGCAACCAAACGAAAATGATCACGCGGGGCCCTAAATGACTCACACTGTTCATTTTGCTTTCTATTGCTTGCCAGACCTCCCATCAGCTCCATGTCCAGGTATTGGAGGCTTATACTCTTCTAATGGAAGCGTGTGAGGCAGACATTCCCCTTGTACTTGTATATGATCCCCATGGCTCCAGAATCTCGTACCTGATTGTTCCCTTGACCCTGTGTGAGGGGTGTTCCAAAGTAGATGCCTTGTGCTTGGACCCTTCTGTGACTTTCTTTAGAAGGGAGAACAAAGCCTGTTCCGTTGTCCCAACTTGACCCTTTGTTTTTGAACCCAAGTTAATTACTGCCAGACAACCAGCAGAGCCGACAGGCTGCGATGTTCTGGCACACCATCGCACTGCTGGAGCTTACACTGCACACAGTGTAAGACTCAGCTCGAGGGACTAGACCGCTGGTGTCTATCATGGAAACCCCTGTTTGTTTTTCTAGGTAGGTTTCCCATGGCCAGGTTTGAACCAGGAGCCAAAAGGGGATCCTGTGTTTGTCCTCAACTGAGCGAGGGAGGTCAGTCTTTGAAAGCGGCAGTTCCCATCGTGTGTCGAACACGAGAGCGCAGCACAAGCAAACACGCTTCCTGACCATCAAGTAGTGTCCACCTCGCACAAGTCAGCCAGATTAGTTACTCGCTTTCAAGCATTCATGCGACTGGACAGCTGCCTGCCTTGGATGTGGTACTTCTTGCTTGATTGAAAGCCGGCATCATAATTTGCAAACTCGGGATTACCACGGTAGGAAGCTATGCAGTTTTCCGTAGCCTTAATAGGCTTCAGAACTGCTTTTGTCAGCCTTTATGAGTGATGACTAGAATCAACGGGATTGATAGCGTTAGGCAAGTTTAGGCAAGTTCATTGATTGCGTTGGTTTGGGCTCTACATATGCTTGATTTGTTTGGTATTGCACAAATGCTTTTGCTTCGAAAAACGTCGCCCAAAGCTAATTGGGCGCGCAGAGGCGCTTGTCCACTGCTTCTAGGTCGAGGTTTCTGTTTTTGAACGGTCGCGACTGACACGTGCCAACGAATCCATGCGTTTTGCCCTCCCACCTAGCCCGACTTGCCAAGGAGTAGTGTGAATTCACGCGGGATAGACTATCGTTCCTGTTGTTAAGCGAGTTTCGACAGGTTCTCTGCGACTAGTAATGATATTTGTCGCTAATTTCATCCTCATGGAGCTTAGATGACCCTCGTCAGGACGTATGCAAGATCAAACGTTACGTTTGAGATATGGTGCCCATTGTTTCGGTTGATGGAGGAGTGCACAACAGCTCTCAACAGTTGATGGTGATTTCCTTCGCCCCCTCCTTTGTTGTTAGATCCTCCTCCACGCAGTACAGACATGTTGCATGATATTTTCAGAGGGCATATGTGACAGGCGCGCTCTTAAAGGATGGAAGTCCGACCTGTGCGAATCATACCCCCGAACCATACAACGAACCATACCTCCGAACCATACCCCGAATCATACCCCTTCACAACGCCAGCTACCATTTCGAGTACTACTGCTACCACTACTACTACTACTGCTGCTACTACTACTACTAAGACGACGACGACGACGACGACGACGACTACTACTACTACTACTACTGCTACTACTACTACTACTGCTACTAGTATTACTTCTACTGCTACTTCTATTTCCACGTCTACTTCTAGTACTACTACTCCCGGTATGACTACTACTACTACTACTGCTACTGCTACTACTACTACTACTCCTACTACTGCTACTACTACTACTACTACTACTACCACTACTACTACTCCACTACTACTACTACGGCAGAAAAACCTTGCTTCTGAATCATACCCCGAATCATACCCGAATCATACCTCGAACCATACCTGTTGTTTGTGCGTGGCTCTATGAAGACGCGTGCGGAATTCGCCAACGGCAGATCGTCAGCGCAGCAACTCTTGCAACAAATGTTTCAGCTCCTGCAAACCATACCCCGGATCATACCCGCAAATCATACTTCGATTCATGCCCGCGAATCATACCCCCCCATCCAAACTTCCCGGATCGAGCACCTTGTTTTGGCACACACCCATATATATATATATATATTTATAGATTTGAATATATATATATATATGGTGTATATATATATATATTATGTATATATGGTACAGCGTTGCCAGTCCCCCCCCCCCAATGGTCATGGGTCAGACAAGTACCCCCTCCCCCCCCTGTGGTTGTGGTCCTGTGGTTGGGTTGTGGTGGTTTAGGGTTGGTTTAGGATATATTTAGGGTGTATTTAGGGTTAGTTTAGGGTTGGTTTAGGGTTGGTTTAGGGTTAGTTTAGGGTTGGTTTAGGGTTGGTTTAGGGGTAGTTTAGGGTTGGTTTATGTTGATTTAGGGTTGGTTTAGGGAGGTCTACGGTTTACGGTTTGGTTTAGGGTGTGTTTAGGGTTGGCTTAGGGTTAGTTTAGCTTGTCCTGGGGCTGGGGGTGCCGGGGTGTCGGGGTGCGTGTTCAGGGTGTCGGGGTGGGAGTGGGACTGTAGGTGCCAGGATCCGGGGCTCGGGGTCTCGGGCCGGGGGGGCGGGTCCTGGGGGACACATACCATCTGGGGGGGGGAGGGGGGGTAGCAACACGGAACACGGGACCATATTTATATATATATATATATATACACGGTCCAATTGTCTTATTCCCGTTAAAGAAAACAATATACCAAGGCAGAGCACTCGTGACTTCCAGTTATGGGGATGGGAAGGGCTCGCTCCAGGCGTCCGGTGCCGAGTTCTACCAAGGCGGGGAGTGCCAGCTCGGTACATCAGTTTCTTTTCCTTGGTTGTACGGTTGCGTAAACTGGATATGAAGGAGGCGGGTGAGCTGGGACCAAAGTGAGCTGCATGGTAGCTCAATTGGTATCTCAGCCAACTTGAACCTAGTTCAAGTAAGTTCGGGATGTAAACACGACAAACAACTGACGCAGAGTATGTTCTTGTATCCACATATATATATATATATATACACATTTATATATGTATATATGGACGGGCGGCCTGCTTAAGCACGGCCGACTCACTGACTGCGTGCCTGGCTTTCTCTTGTGTCGCTGATTCGCCCTTTGCGCAGGGCGGATCCTCGTAGGACAATTAGCAGTAGTGCATCAGACGACATGAGGAGTGTCTCCAGGATGATCCAACATGCGTGGGTCGGCTAGAGCGATATTGTCATCTTGTTTTGGTTAAGTTGGTAGCTTGATCCTTTGTCAACTCAGGCAACCAAAAAAGGTTTTGGACTCCTGGAATTGTTGATGTGTATTGGCCATGCAATGGCACTGCAATCCACTTACTCCTTTCGTGGTTTGCATTTGCCTATGATTGCTATTTGCAGAGCAGAATGTTTTTGACTCAGAGTTCCTCGTTCGAGTCAGCAAATGCTTTTTTTCATTGCCAGCATGCGTCTGATTGCACATGTTTTGCAGCATTGATGCACCGCTCTTGGTGGGACGCGATCTATGCTAGCCCCGCCTCCCCCCAAGAGAGAGGTTAAAAGCTTCTAAGAACCATTCCTTGAGGATGAGATTATCGCTTTGACACTTTGTTGAACAGTGGCCGAAGGGACTTGAACTGTTCAGTGCCCTACGCTTCACTGAGTCACGTTTCGATCAGAAGAGGTCTGTGCAACTTGAGTCGATGCGCCTGGATTTCATGGTTCGTATAACGAGGTGCTTTCAAGGGCCGTAAACGCGTGAGAAGCGGACGTCAAGACGTGATGCATGCTGCACCCTTAACCCCACTTGGGTAGCTCTCAGGATCGCGAACCATTTCCAGGCGGTCCGACATGAACACAGGGCCAAAACGGCCTCCAGTTTTGACCCCAGCTGCAACAAATTTGATTGCAGTGAAGCTTTTCAGAGCTCCAAGCGAAACCTTGACATCCCTGATATTGGCTCCAGTGACATTCTCCCTGGAATGTGACAGGTTAGATCAACATGTTACCGGCTCCCTCGAGTTCACCTCCGGCCGGTTCGCAGGTTCTGTGGTCTTCCGCTGTGAGGGCGAAACTGGGCCTGTGGAGGTCTCTGCTCCAGTGCGGTACAGCGTTCTGGAGGCGTGGGGGAGATATGGCTGTGGTTGTCAAAACCGTTTTGGGATCCCATTTTGGTTGGTAGGTGAATTCACTACCCATTTTAGAACCCAATTTAGTGGGGATTTGGATGTTCACTGGGGGTACGGGCTTTTGACCCATGGCCATATATGTTCCAGGTTCTACCCCCCGCACCCATGGGCAGGGTACCCCCCCCCACTCCGCTGTGGGTGGGGTTGGCCAAGGGTTGGTTCAGGGTGGGCGAAGGGTTGGTTGAAGCTTCGTTGAGGGTTGGTTGAATCATGGTTAGTGCAGAGGAAGCATCAACTAGAGGAGTCTGTTTGGGGATTGGAATCCTTTTTGAATCCGTGGGAATCAACAGGATTTGCGGACTCGTAAAACGTTGCTGGTTGCCTTGTGACCGAGTTGCTCTTTAGATATGCCAACATATTTTGGTTTTGTCCTTGAGCCAGAAGGGTCCCAAAGATGCATCATGAGCTGGGCCAGCGGGCAACTATATAGTCGCCATTTTAGTAGATAGGCAATGCATTATTTTCTGACTGCATGTTTTGTTGTTTTCCTGAGCATGTGGCAAGTTTTGCATGCACAGGGATGCCGCTGTCCGCTGTCAAAATCCATGTTCACTGCTGTGTTTATAGCGTGCTTTACAGCCTTATATAGCGTGGCTGCTTGGGCAAGTGTGAATTTGCGCATTTGAGACATCATCTTGACGGCCCACACAACGAATCATGCGACGTCATGCGAGCAGGTCTAGAAGGAGAACTTCTTCAGCAACGTATGCGTAAAAACAGCGGGGGTCGTGTGAGCGTCTGGCGTGGAAAGTAGGACGTGTGTGGCGTTTCACACCCCACCCAGACCCACCGCACCCCCTGAACTTTGGGTGGAGACCAAAACTGAGGCATCGACCTATGGACAATCAAGAACATGGTACCTATAAGCTATAAGTAAGGGCACCCTGTTAATACGTACTAGTTTCTTGGGCTTCGTCTAGTCTGGGATGCCGATTCACAAATCTACCAGTAGTAATTAGGCTTGCAGCAAGCCCTTTTTTTGTTCGAGCGAAATAATGTAGCAGATGGACACTTCTGGGCCAAACTTGTTGTGCACGGTTCATGCAAATTCGGTTCTTGGCGGAGCAGACCGGCCAAAGAGGCCGAAATTTAGTGGGCTACTGCCACATTGATGACAAGCCTGGGGCGATGAGACCCGTGCAGGTTGCGGGGCAGCTGTTGGCACTCTGTTTGCTCAGCCTGGGCCACAGCCGAGCTTTGAGCTTCCCAGACGAGCCAAAAACCTGCCGGCATAACCCCAGAGCAATCGAGGAAGTCTAAAGCTTTATTGAGGCGGAAAAAAGTAACCATGACAGCGATGGTATGCATGCCGGTAGATTTGGTGACGGTATACTCACAGTTTCCGGGGGTTGGTTTGTCCCGGACTCAAGTTCCCCCAGCTGTCGCTTGCTTGTTCCAAATTGGAGCACGTTGGGAAGTTCTGAGATTTTGTCGAAGGCCTCAAACTAGCGGTTCTGATTTGGCTCAATTTCGAGACAGAAGAGTAATTTTGTTTGAAGAGTTCCCGTTGGCTTCCCGTCCAAAACACCTCAGAGAGGAGTAATTATATACCCTCAAAAAAGTAAGCCACCTCACGGAGGAGTACCCTCAATATACCTGTTGGTCCCTTTTGAAAAATCAAAAATAAGGGTACCTCCGACTTTACAGAACTCATTGGCAAAGCTTGCGATTGGTGGCCCGATTGCCATCCGAGAATGCCTTTTGCCGCTTGCTTGCGCTAGGCTTGCATTGAATGATAATGCATTAGATCCAGCAATCTGAGTGGGGTATTTGGGGTTATCCATTCTCGTGCACAGATGTCTCACAACGGCGAACGCGCGCTTAGCTGGTGCAAGATGAAACAACCAGATTATCGCTTTTGGGGTTCCATTTGTTTGCAGCATCATACTATTCAGCTCGGGCTGAACGGCTTCTTTCCATCGCGTGAATGTTTGTAGGTTGTGCCGGATGATGGGTGCCCCTGTTGACTCCATTTTGCCATGATTCATGGCAATCAGGGGTTCTTATGGTTACCTGGTAAACCAAGCTGGTTGTTACAAGTTCGGCATCCCTTGACTGGTTAAAGCTAGAAAGTTTCCAAAGGTTAGTGCCTGCATGGGTTCCCAGGGGGGACCTCTTTATTTTTGGTCAAGTGGTTCCCTTTAAGAAGCAATCAGAGCGCCAAATCAGGGCCTGCATCTTGTGGCTGTTTTCTAGCGAACGTTTGGCAGGGTGTGGGGCCAAGGTTACAAGAGTACTGCAAGTGCAGGGATTGCGCTTACCGCTTACCTTCCGGAAAACTGGAGGGGGGAGGGTGTCCATCTTGTTCCGCTACTTTCGATATACAACCTTGCACGTGTTTTGAACATGGGCATATTTCCAAATTTCACTATGAGCCCTGCATCAAGTCTGTGCTATTGATGAGGCCCTCGTGAACCTCACCCATATCTTTCCTTTCTCATGTTGGGTTGATTATCATTATTGTCTGTCTGGCTAGGTCCCCAGTAGTGCCCTTTCGCCCCCTTTCTTTTGGGGAGTCCCCTGCTAAAATTGGCATCCTTCTAGCCTCTCCACTGGACCGTCTGACAGGGGGGCCGATGAGTCTCACGACTCGTGGTGCAGATCTCAGGTGGGTCTTTGTACCTGGGCTCGCGCGCGCAGTGGCTCACCTGCCTGGAGGTGGAGGCGTCGAGGGGTGGGGGGTGGGGGGTGGGGTGGGGGGGTTGGGGGGTGGGGGGTGGGGGGTGGGGGTTGGGGGGTGGGGGTTGGGGGGGTGGGGGTTGCGGGGGTGGGGTGCCCAGACCCTTTGGTGGGTGCATGTGTTGACTTCTGAGAAGGGAACCGGAAGTTGACTTGGTCAAGGAGTCATTCCCTATAGGCCTATTGTTTGTTATGGTTTCAGCGTTCGCTCCTCCAAAGAGATGCGACTGGTTGAAAGCTCTGCTGGGTGTCCTTGTTCCAAGGCTTTGGAGCTGATGGCATTCCCTGCCCCAACCCAGCCAGCCTTTCACCTACGGGTTTTTTGCTTTGTTCAGTCAGGGGCCCAAAGGTTTCCTCGTGCTTTCCAGGTCCTTTGCAGCCCGAAAGATCACCTAAGTGCACCCGGATCCCAGGTAGTTAGCCAAGGTTTGATTCCTTTCGCAGGGAGTTATTGTTTCGGAGCGGGGATTTGTGTAGACATCAAATCATGATCCTCAGCCGTGTTGACAGTTTCACACTGGAGTCATGCATCTGAAATGAGTAAGTGGCCATGGGTCAAAATCCAAATCGTACCCCCAGTCAACATCCCAACCCCCACTAAAATGGGAAGCCTGAAATGGGTGGTGAATTGACCTGCCAACCAAAATGGGATCCCAAAACGATTTTGACCATCCCCTTGGTTTTGACCACAGCTAAGTGGCACCGTGTTTCCCTTGAAATGGTTGCCCGCAGGCGGGTGCGCTACGCGAGACCTTGGACTCCAGCAGGATCTGCCCCAGGAACCAGCGGCGAGCTGAGCCGAAAAAGGAGTACGCAGTCGAACCCAGGTGCTTTCCCAGAATTGTTCCCCTTGTGTTTTTTTTTGTGTTTTTTTTGGGGGGGGTTCCTTTTGTTTTCCACTACCCGGCAAAAAACAGGTCATTCTTGGCTGGGGTCCTAATTCCAGCCAAGGGTGCTCTTTTCGGCAGCGTTGATGGATCTTGCTGGTAAGTGTTAGAACCAAACAAAACTGGCGGAACCCAAGTCAACCAAGCTGAAACAGGAGACAGCTACTTGACAGGAGTCAGATGTTTCTATTGGCTCAATTTGAAGACTCATTCTCAGAAGGCCCGGTTCTGAGGCATATGTATGCTTTACCCGGCGTCACATGGCCATGCTGGACGGTCTGAAAACTCCATCCACTGCCCCGAAGTGGCCCTTTTTGTATGCGTAAGCTGGGGCTGCGTGCAGCGGCCGGATGCTTGCAACACTGGGCAGTGCGGTAGACGCGCAAGCGTCATTCAAAGCAACCTGAGTAATGTATGCACCAGTCATTGCATTGAATCATAGCTCTAGAAGGATCAGCAGTTTTGCCAAGTCATCGAGACAACATTGACTCAGAGCTAGTTGCAGAACATGCGCGGGAGATCGATACAGCCAATGTCGATGTTTGCAACATTGTTGCGTAGTCCCACAGCAACCTCTACGTGGCATGCGTAGTTCACGGCAAAAGCTTGGGGATTGCCCTGCCGAGGCATCCCGTGCTGACTCGTGCCGCATGCCTGCATTGAGCTGCTTGAATCGCCGGATGTTTGCCATCGTCAGAACGCGGCTTCTACTTGGGGTGTGTGGATTGTCATGATTAACGTACCTGTTCGGACGCTCAGAAACCATGAATTGATTTCAAGGAACCCATGACCATGGCACTCAGTCTGCGTCCATGTAACGGATGCACAGGCTTCCTGGGCCTGCCATGTATTCAGTTGCCTCGAAGAGCGCTGAGACATGGCACTAGCAGCTCATGCGGGCGCTTCAGGCAATTGCGCCTGGCTGTTGGAGACATCATCAGATTGTTTCCACAGCACAATCACAACACATCAATAATTCGGCGCGGTGGCCGCGGAAAGTTCTTGAGATGACATATTTCGCGTATCAGGCAATAATAGAACCATGTACCATGTTCATGCACAATATAGTTGATCCTGCAATGGTTGCGAGCTGGCAGCAAAGGGAGCACCAACATGTTTCACGTTGTGTTGTTGATTTCCTCGATCCATTAATGAGATCAATGCTGCCTTTAGATTTCATTTTTGATGGATTCGCAGCTTCCCAGGCCACTTGTTAAAAGACACGGATAGAAATAGACCCATCCACATTGGAGCGTGGCCCGAAATTTTGCACCCTTGGCACCCCAGGATTTTGTGTGGCTCCCCTTCCCATGAAACCTGCTTAGAGTTTAGACTTCACCCGCCTCGTTCAAAGACTCCGAAGCTGCCCGAAAGACACTACTGATTTGCGCGCAGATTTTGAACGCCGGCCCCCCGAGTAAGAACATGCCTCAAGATAGGGCGCCTCCAAGCAAAGAGACTTTCCTTCGGTTTCTCTTTCAAGCGCGCCTCAAGAAGAGGTATCTTTAAACAGGAACTACATGTTTTTTTTGAGAAGAGGGATCGATCAAACCACACACAGGGCCGTCCCCGAGGTTTATGGCAAGCAGCTTATGGACCTCCGTGTGGGAAAAGGCCAAGGCCGCAGTGTTGGATCGCGGATCAGCGCTTACTGGATCAACATGTAGCGTCTTACATACAATTTGAATCTTAGGCTTCCTAAGTTTAGGGTTGAACGTTGACCAGGTTTACAGAAGAATTTCAGCAAGACTTGGTTGGTAGGGAGTGACCCTCAAGTACTTGCCTTTCTCTTAATAGTCCTATGTGTTTCAATTGTTCTTCACTGAGAACCAAAAAAGCTGACGCTTTTGTCGCAGAAAGCCGTTTTCCCTGGGGTATGTTTCAGGCATCATGTGAGTTCAATGGCTCGACATACAGATGCCCTCCCAATAGCCTGAAGAATGAATCCAGCTGGATTGCAACCTGGCACTTTACCTCTGCAAATAAGCAGGACGTAGTGTAATGGGTTCTCCCTACTGTGTACTTTGGTTTGTGGGTAGGGGAACTGGTGGAATTGCGGACTCACTGATTTGTGGCGCTGGTTTTTGTTCGACAGGTCCAAGGGTAGCATTCACCCCCGACAGGTCCATGAAAGGGAGATGAACTAGGTTCCTAATTGCCTGACATATGGGTTTGTCTCAACACCCAAAATGGTTCGTGTCCTTTTGGTGCCCCGTTAAGACCAACCCAAAACGCGTATCCTCAAAACATACACACCCATACAGCCACGTGTCGCTACTCTAGAACGAGTCTCTCAAAATGCTTGGTCCGGCATCATCCTGTTAACTCTACCTGGCACATGCTCGTCATCACACAGGGCCTGCTCGCCCGAGTTTCAATCATTCGGCAAGAAGCCACTCGCAAGGCTGGTGCGGCGTAAACGTGCATATCCTTTTAAATGACAATGGCTTTGGTGGGACACACCCTCGATTCGTGGACCAGAGGACGGGTCAAAAACTGGTGGTGTTTGTTTGGCGTCCAAAGGGTGGCCCCTATGTTGCGGACATGCGCACAGCAATTGGAGAGGACGCGTGAACATTGGAGTGCTGCCCCTCACCCACACCTCTTGTAACATGGGGTACCATTGCGGCCGAGCATTGTTCGTTGGTCATAATGACGGAGTGGCTTATTCCCTGAACAAAGCCAGGGGTTTTCGGAACAGGATCTGACAAATCCCGTAAAACATCTTCCAAGACCGCACTCTTTAAGGTAAAGTCCCGGACGCTTCAGCGATCCTCCCACGAAACCTCCCTAAAACATCTTCCAAGACCGCATTCTCGAACCTCCCACCAAACCTCCTTTCTCGGCTCCGATGCGTGCCTCGTTTCGGGACCTCGGCAGGTTCCTTGCCGCTGGACCGGCCAAAGAGCTGGCCGGAGGTGCGGCGGAAAAAATGAAAATTTCCTGGGGGTGGAGTGGTTCATTGGGTCCCTGTGGTTCAAAGCTGGTTGCAGAACCCTGGTACCGCTCAAAGGCTGTTGTTCTTGACTGCTGGGTTGGTTGGATCTTCAGACTTGATTTTTTTGGGAAATCAAGGGGTTTTCCGCTAAACCCTCAAAAAGGTAAACTTGTTTGCAGGGGGGTCAACAGCAACCAAGATTTGGGGATGGGTCAAAATGAACCCACCAAAACACCGCAGGTGTTTGGGTCCATGTTTCCATGTACCAGAGCTCCACTTTGGGGACTGTATCCATTTTGGCCCACGGATGTTTTCCCAAAACAAGGGATGTGTTTGCTTTGTCCGCAAAGGCCCCCAAAAGTGTAGACACTCGATGCAAAGCGGATCTTTTTTTTGGTTGAACCCGCACGCACATATTCCGGTGAGACATTTGGGGCCCGTTATTTGACCCCAGTCAAAAGCAGGCTAATTTTGAAAATCGCAATGCTCCCTACAAGTGATCCAACATGTTTTCGCATTGTCCAAACGTTTGGTCACTTAGGCTTGGTAGGCCTCACTGTTGACAAGCAGAATAAGGCCCGCTTTTCTTGCAACCATGACCATTTCCCACAGCCCGGCTTGCCTACGGTACTCGCTTCAACTGAACCTGTGGTGATTGAAGACCTGCAATGGGTTGGAAGGCCCGCAACACAGTTGCCAAGCCTTAAACCCGCGACCGCTGATTTCGGCAAGATTCAATTCAGTGATCAACCCCGTTACATTCAAATGGGTGTGGATTTCAACTGGCGGCCACCTGAGAAACAGCGTTTACATTGGGATTTATGTCCACCTTGACATCCACTTAAAGCGTGTCGCCGTTGAAACTCATCACCATGAGTGTGACCGCTTGGGGATTTCTACGTCCACCAACCAGCCGACTCATTTGCAGGACTCGACTGTGGTGATGGCAGCCTTCGGGCAATACCGCGAGCCTCGGGTGCAGAGCGAGCTGACAACATGAAGCCGCACCTCTCTGGTCGTTTCGTATCCTTTCCCTTGGTGTAGCATCCAAGTTCTTCCGGTCAATATCTTCAATTGAGGCATTCAGCATATCTGTGCGGTGGAAGGTTGGCGTATTTTTTTCCCGAAAGCATGGCGAAGGGTTCTTCCGCTGGGTTCACTTGAGTTGTTCTCATGAGAGTCATTACAAGGTGTCATTGCAAGGAATCAGCATCATGAAAGTCATTGCAAGGAGTCATTGCAAGGAGTCATTGCAAGGAATCATCATCATGAAAGTCATTGCAAGGAGTCATTGCAAGGAGTCATTGCAAGGAGTCATTGCAAGGAGTCATTGCAAGGAGTCATTCATTGCAAGGAGTCATTGCAAGGAGTCATTGCAAGGAGTCATTGCAAGGAGTCATTGCAAGGAGTCATTGCAAGGAGTCATTGCAAGGAGTCATTGCAAGGAGTCATTGCAAGGAGTCATTGCAAGGAGTCATTGCAAGGAGTCATTGCAAGGAGTCATTGCAAGGAGTCATGGCAAGGATTGCAACTTGCACTTGACTCCTTGCACTTGCAACTTGCACTTGACTCCTTGCACTTGCAACTTGCACTTGCACTTGCAACTTGCACTTGACTCCATGCACTTGGCTCCTTGCACTTGCACTTGCACTTACTCCTTGCACTTGCAACTTGCACTTGTGCACTTGCGACATTGACTCCATGCTTGGCTCCTTGCAACTTGCAATGGCTCTCATGACTCCTTGCAATGACTCCTTGCAATGACTCCTTGCAATGACTCCTTGCAATGACTCCTTGCAATGACTCCTTGCAATGACTCCTTGCAATGACTCCTTGCAATGACTCCTTGCAATGACTCCTTGCAATGACTCCTTGCAATGACTCCTTGCAATGACTCCTTGAAACAAGCAAGGAGTCAAGTGCAAGTTGCAAGTGCAAGGAGTCAAGTGCAATTGACTTGCGAGGAGTTAAAATCTCTTCTTAGGGCGGCGGGGTAGTGCCGACGACACTACACGAAAATCGACCCTCTGCGGGGATCGGCGTGGTCGAGGTGCAAAAACCCATGGTTTTTTGCGATTTCTAAAGTTCCCGCGCGACCCTCTGCGGGGATCGGCGTGGTCGAGGTGCAAAAACCCATGGTTTTTTGCGATTTCTGCGGTGCTCGCGCGACCCTCTGCGGGGATCGGCGTGGTCGAGGTGCAAAAACTCCGATGGCTTTTTTTTGCTTTTTGCTCGGCGTGGTCGAGGTTCGCGATTGGTTTGGTTTTTTGCGATTTCTACCCTCTGCGGGGATCGGCGTGGTCGAGGTGCAAAAACCCATGGTTTTTTGCGATTTCTAAATGCTCGCGCGACCCTCTGCGGGGATCGGCGTGGTCGAGGTGCAAAAACCCATGGTTTTTTGCGATTTCTGCGGTGCTCGCGCAACCCTCTGCGGGAATCGGCGTGGTCGCGGAAACCGGCGGGTCGCGGGTTCGATTCGAACTCCTCTGGTCCGCGGGCGGGCGTCGCAAGATGCAACTTGCATTTTAAAGCAACTTGCGCAGAGCAACTTGCGCAGAGCAAGTTGCACAACTTGCGCGGAGCAACTTGCGCAGAGCAACTTGCACAGTGCAACTTGCGTAGAGCAACTTGCGCAGACCAACTTGCACCGACCAGTTTGCGCAGAGCACCTTGCCTGGTGCTGTCTCGCGCTTGCTTCACGAATGCTTCGTGTAGGGAAAAAGAACGCATCCTGCAGCGTTGGGCCGACCTCGCTCCGTGGTCTAGTTTTGTTTTTGGGGGGCTTTTTTGTTTGCGGCTCTTGGCGGCTTTCGTGGCTTTGGCTTTCCACATCCTCAGCATCACCGGCAACTGTCAGATAGCGCTTGCATCCGCGCAGTTTCTTCTGTATACCGCCACTCTTCGGCTTTGTGACAACCTGAGCCGGCAACCCCAACTCCGAACCCTGAACAAGCCCCAACAAGAATCCAATGCCTCAAACCCACCTTTCCAGAGTCAGTCCAAAAGCTTGATGCTTTGGTGGCTTCCGGGCATGCCAGACATCTCGAAGCGCCGGCCTGGGGCTTCGCAGCTTCGCCTCAGGAAGCTCCCAGTCCGCAGGTGAGGCGGCGCCAGTACTTGCTGACCATTGGAGGCCGCTGTGCGCGAAGGTCATGGGGGCTGGGGGCGAGGGGGAGGGAGCCCAAAATATGCAGCATGAACGCATTGGGAAAGCAGGCGCCTCCCCGGCAACTGGAACATGACTAAGCGTGAAGCAGTTGGAACGTCGCAAGTCCGAAGCAAGCCTAAGAGGAGACTGACCTTTACCTGCAGCATGTCAACGCCAACAAACAGTATGACCGGCTTGCCTTTGTCCTTATGCTGGCTGGTTCCCTTGATGTGTTGGTGTCCCACTACGTACTGCAGATTAGGATTGGGGGATCCCCCTTCAGTTTGAATCACCCGCTGTGACCTCGACGCAGGTTTGGGTATCGTTCTTCTGCACGGTTCATCCACCTCCTGCTGCTCGGCAGAAAGGTGTCTGTCCTTTGGCACGGACATTTTTTGGGCCCCTGCTGTCCAGAAGTTTGTGCCACCTTTTAAGGGGTCTCCAGAAAGCCGTTACAATACCTTTGCTCAATTTTGCCTGCACGTCAGCGTTTGTTTGTTTTTGTTTTTGTTGGCAGGAAGGAACGCCACCGGAAGTTCTAGGTATGTCGGTACCACGCAAACATTGCCCATTTCGCGAAAAGAGCGGGACTTGGATGCCGTCGAGGTTGCAGGATTGGCGCTCTCTCAGAAGCATTTCTCTTCGCTGCTTCCGAATTGGATGGTGGTGCTTCAGGAGTTTGGCTTCACTTTGCAAGATTGCCGTGGATGTTTTACAAAGAGAAAGAACTCCTCAAGACGTAACATACGATGTGAACTTGGGATTGCGGCATTTGTCCAGATAACTCGAGGGCGGTTCCGCTTTTGGTGCAGGGGTCAATCCATTTTGGGAGAGCCCCCTCCCGGAGAACTGTCATCACAATTCATTATCCGAAGCGAACCGTGCCTCATGCAGGGAGGTTCCCCAAAGTACCAACCATGGTTTTAATACATCCACTCCTGTATTAGACCATTGCAAGAGCGAGCCCAGCAGGCAACAGATGCTTGGTCTCTGTCAAAGTTCAGCGGGCTTTCTTGGGGCAGCAGACTGGCAAAAGCACAGACTAGGAACAACCGAATATGCACCACATATCCAGTAGCGCCATGTTTCCATGTTTTGGATGGGTTTCGCTGTAAAACGCTCAAAATCCTTCTGACGCAAGCCAGGCATCTCCGATTTGAGTTTAGAACATTTAGGGCATGGAGCAGCGGACATGATTGGCTGGGAGGTAGCCAGACATGTGGGTGTGGCTCAAAGTTAAAGAGCTCGGGTTATGCAGGTGATAGTCTTTGGTTCCATTTACCTTTTGGTGCAATTTTGGTATATTTGAACCACAGCCATGTTCCCTTGGCTGTTTCTTTTAACCTCCATAAAGGCAGAAAAAGCTGCATCTCCGTTCGGACTGAGGCTGGGGCTGCATCAACGAAGTGGTGCTGGGCAGCACTGGTGGGCTCTTCGACGTAGAAGCGCAGCTGCTACTGCCCGGCGGCACAGACTTTAGAGCACGTGTGCTGCCATACATGTTGGCTCTTATCATGTACTTTGCAAGCTCTTTTTGGCTTCGTCCTTGGGAGGGATGGAATCAACAGCAGTTATTGGTCAACCTCAAATAAGGCAAGTATACAAGAGAAGCACGCAGTAATTTGGAATGAAAATGAGGAAGTGCCCGTTAATGTCCCAACCAGCAAACCGAACCACCAATATATCGGCAAGGTGAGTGAAGGACATGTGGGTCCTTTACATGCCTTAGAGACACGCCGGTTGGCCTGGACGCCTTTGCATCGGCTGCTTTGACAGGCACACCCTTTGGCGAAACCTGAGCCTAAGGTGTCAGTGGCTTTGGTGTCTAGAGAAACCGCTGGGCTCCGGCAATCTGGATGGCTTGCGTTTGCTCCCTCCTCTCCAGTCTTGGAGGCTGCCAGGAGGGTTGTTGATAGCTGTTCATTTCTTATGGCGAAGCCAGTGTTCACTTCTATGATTGTTGGAAGGGACAAATAGGCCGCAAGCACGGGGTTGTTGATTTGAGACTGCCGACCAAGGTACTCTCCCTAAACGTAGGCAGTTGTTTTCTCTTGGTCCAGAGTTGTCCCAGGCAAAATGATCGATCTGCCAGGTATGGCATTTTTCCCAGACTGGCAGTATAAGCAGTGGCATCCTCGCGGGTTGGCACCCTCATGTTTGTCTGGATGTTTGTGCCTCAGCCAGCATCCCAGTGTTCCAGTACTCGTTTGCCCTTCGAAGGAGTTCCTGCTGACCAATATGTCTTTTTCAGGCAGTCGAATTGTCTCTCCTAAAAAATCCTGGACAAGAAGTTTGACCACCCTTTTGCTGAAACAGGCAGTACTTTTTTGGGTGTTAAATGCACCTCCCATCTCTTCACCTTCCCTCCCCATCTCTTCGCCGAGGCTTGGCTCCTGCGGGCGGCACAATGGGAGCGGCATCCCCTGCCTGCATTTTGGCTGAACGTGGTGGACACTCGGGGCGTATTAGGCAGCCACCCTCCTTATAGGGTATCTCTGTGTTGGGGGTTGGTGCTGCACAATGACCTTGTGTGTCCTTGGCACGGGGGTGGGCGGCACGTGCCCAACATGGTAATTCAGAACAAAAGGGTAAGGCCAGAATGGGTGATCGCTTAAAGAAGCTGTTGGTTTCCGACAACTCAGTGACTCCCTCCATGTTGCGGTCTGTTTTGACCGGCATCAATCTGTTGACCCCTTCTGAAAACTATCGAACTCTTTGTCAAATGACCAAGCACATACTGGACTTTCGATGTGCCTGTTGGTTTTGGGGATCAACGCTTGCCCCAGGTTCCAGAAGATCGAGCTTTTCTTTCCGAGAGTAGCATGCAAATAGTTAGCGAGCAAGACTTAAGGACCAACATCTACTGTTGTGTTGAATCACATTGGCTCCCCGTACCCAGAAATGTTCTCAAAAGGAGCCTTGAAGAAACTTCCCGGGCTAGGTCCTCCCGACGCTGTGGGATGTTGTGACAGTTCAGGTACATTTGTTAGTGCTAGGAGTCAGACCATGTGCTTCCGGATGGGTTCTAGCGTTGGGCTAATGCAGGCCCATGGTGGGCAACATATGTGACCCTTTTACCCTTCTTGGAATGAACAACTTGATGTGCGCAGGGACTCTCAACGGCGCAGGCTTCCTCGGGGAAGCCTGGAGGAAGTTCTTGAGACCAGGGTTCAACCATCTCGAAAGGGGTGCCAACCGCAACGCAAGGACCATACTCCGGAATTGGAAACCCCGAGTAAACAAATGGTAAAACAGGGTGAACAAGGCCGACGTTGCTGCTATTCGGTTGGATCTCTAACCTTTTTCTCGCCGCCACCCTGTGTGTTCTCTCCACTATGTGCTTTTTTGTTTAACTCCACTATGTTTTTTTGTTTAACTCCACTATGTGTTTGTTGTTTAACTCCAAAATGTGTTTGTTTTGTTTTTTTTAAGGACGAGCAATGGCCAGCGAAATGAGAATCGCATGCTTTCAGGTTGGCGGGCTTCTGCCTCACGATGCTCCTCTTCTGCCAGGCGGTGATCCTGCTCTCAGGCGCGAGCAACTCGGAAGCTGTTGCCAGCCAAATTCCCTGGGAGCAACGGGGTACCCGGACGCGAATTGGCTGAGGCTCAAAAAAAAACGGTACCAAAGTGGGTTGCCCTGGTAAGTGGAAACATGGACCAAAACCTGCGTAACCCCTCCGGTTTAATTTTGAGCCGCACCCAATTGAAAGTGATGGATGGTCTCCTGAAAACGTCTTGGGATATGGAATGGCTTGGGTACACTGTCGATTGCCACTGGACCCCTCAAACACCGTGTTTGGGTTTGGTTGCGAAACTCTCCGACCCTGGGTCCCTGATTTTGGCTCACCTCAAAACTCAAGAGTCCTTTCGGGGTATTTCTCGCAATATTGATTATCAGCACATCAACAAACATATCCGCTTATGCAAGAAGGGCCAGCTTGATGCACACGTGCGTGTTAGGTTTCATGCTAAACTGATAGGGTAAGGCTTGTACGGCAGATTATTATACTTCCTGCATCGAGTGTCCCCACTAAAGTTGAACACTAGGCCTACCTGGGCTGCTTTTGTTCCTTCCCCTGGCAACGAAACGTCCTTCCTTTACACTGATCTGATTTCAGTGAGAATGCATGAACATTGGCTTCTTACTTCCACTTTTATACTAAAGATGACCCATTGAAGCAAAGCATGTGCCTTTTTCTGTAGACATCCAGGCGTTTTGTTGTTTTCCTTCAGCAGCCCAACCACATCACAGAGCTAAACCCGCTCACGTTCACTTTTCTTTGAGTGGACGAGCTGTCTTGAGTGGTGCCTGTCTCTTCGGAATTATACCAAAGTCGGTTCGACCCCCAACGGCATCCGTGTGCATTTTGTGCTTAGGTGACAGCGCGCAGGATGACGACCAGCACCTTGGATGGCTTGGCTAGGCGAGAGCGTTGATTTGCTCGTTGTCTTTCATACACGTGCAAATGTATACAGGTACATATTGTACTGTCATGTGTACTTACAAAATTCCATACATATACATATACATATATATATATATATACAAGCACGGGGAACTGCAGTGACGCAAAGAGCCTCGCCGGCTGGTTACTTACTCCGGAATATTGGTCTTCCTGGCTAGTTGTCTATTCCATTTCACGTGAATACTGGTTCAGTAGAACGCATGCTTCTGCTTTTAGACTTTACGCTGTTCGTGGAATAGGGCGATAGCAGTCCATGTTCATCATGTCATGCTGCCTTTCAGTCGTGTGATATGCTTTTCCAGGGTTGCTTCCCCACAAAAAATGTTGTTTCATGTAAGTATATGTGATACTTTCTTTTTGTTTCGGAATAGTTTGATGCT